GAGGAGCACAGCTGCGGGCCTGCAAAGCATGGGGACCGCCTCGGTGTCAGCGCAAAGCTGCCCATGACGCGACCCTGAGTCCCGCCTGATGTCGGAGGGCCAGGCAGGGCCGAGCCTGCACAGAGGGGCAGCAGGGATGCACTTGGGCGTCATGCCTCCCTGGTACCGGGGACTACAGAGGCCTGGACTCCCCGTGTGACCCCAAAGCGGGGGGGAAGCCCTAATGATGACTAGGGAGGATCTCCTATAGGGGGGGAGAGGAGAACCTGTAGGCTTAGAGGAGCAATGAAACAGATGTTCCTTGCACCTTACTGCAGGTTGCCACGCGAGGGGACCCCACGGTGCTCTGGAAACAAACACTCCACTGTTTTTCGAAGGGCAAAGTCATGCTTCCTGTGTGCTCCCAGCATCCTTACTGATCCACAGGATTTTTCTGGCTGCCTTTTTGTAGGCACACAACTCTGACTGATAAGGACCAGGGGTCTGCAGACACCCTGACTACCGTTTCCTCGCTCAAGACCAAGAACTGAGACTGCACCAACTTAAAAGCAGGCTTTCACACTAACAGGTTCACATCCGAGCATCACCACCAAGAATGGAAATAATAATAATTAATAATAATAATAATAATAATGCCTTCAGATCATTGTGAGGATAACTGAGAGAACGCTGTAATATTAGCACATAGACAGCAGCACAGCATCAGACAGTGAATCACGAATTATAAGAGGCCGTCTACACGGGTCGTAAAGAGTTCCTGTTCTCCCCCTTGGGATAATGCAACAAGTGTAATAAATAATCGACAATAATAATAATAATAATAATAATAATAAGTAGTAGTAGTAGTAGTAGTAGTAGTAGTTTAGTAGTTCTGTGTCTTCTGTAAAAGGCAAAATAAGGAGAGTGCGGCGGGCTGGGAGAATATAAAAAATAGTGAAAGGGAATAAAGGGGAAAGGAGAAAAAATGAGTGGGAAATATCAGAAAGGGAGACAGAACATGGGAGACTCCTAACTCTGGGAAACAAACTAGGGGTGGTGGAAGGGGAGGTGGGCGGGGGGTGGGGGTGACTGGGTGACGGGCATTGAGGAGGGCACTTGACGGGATGAGCACTGGGTGTTATTCTGTATGTTGGCAAATTGAACACCAATAAAAAAATAAATTTATTATTTTAAAAAAAGGCAAAATAAGGAGAGGGCGGCGGGTCAGGGGAACCCCAGACCATGTACTCAACAGGGAGGCCCTTCCCGTAACGGATGGTACGTGCATCAATGCAAGAGGACGGGCGAGGCTCAAGGTGCGGGGAGCAGATGGGAAGGCCACACAGGGAGCCAAGGCGAGGCCAGTGCCCCGGGCCCAGCGCTCCTCCCCGAGGTCCCAAGCCCCCAGGTGCTCCTGCTCTGTGCTGCGCCCATCCTCAGGGTCCCAGGCCCCGCTCCCAAGGCCTGAGGGAGCCGCAGTCCCAGAGGGCCACCAGGTGGCAGCACGAGGCCGTGCAGACCGAGGGCCTCCTCCCAGGCGGTGCTGGCGACCTGCCCTGGGACAGTCACCTAGGGGTCTGGGACCCTGGAGAGAGACACGGCGGTCTCCGCGCTGCACTCAGCGTTGAGATTTGCGACTTCAAGGGGAAGCAGGTGTTCTTGATCCGGTGTTTCAGCAGCTCCCGGGGGCTCTGGGGTTGAGCGTCCGACTCTGAGTGCAGCTCGGGTCCTGATGTCGGGGTCCAGGACCGGGGCCCGGCCAGGCTGTGCACTGGGTGGGGTCTGCCTAGGACTTCCTCCCCCCCGCCCTGCCCCTCGGCGCGCTCGCTCTCTCTCTCTCTCAAAAACAAACAGCAGATAAATAACTACGCCCTTTGATTCGGCCCCATAGGTGGTCATCACCGGACACCATGTTTGCACCCTTTGCAGCCGGGGTGGCTTCTTTCAGAACAATGAACCCAGTGGGATTATCTGCCCGGGTCCAATTCTGAATTGAGCTGATACAAAGCCCCACGGCCCCCCCTCAGCCGCGCGCAGCACATCCATCATTCGTAAATGGCTCCCGCAGCAGCAGCCTACGCGGCCCACCGCGCTCCTCCGACACCAAGGAAAAGGAAAAACGTTCTATTTGCTTTTCAGCGTGGTATATTTTTTAAATTGCGTCAACATTACCATTTTTTAGGGTAAAAGTAAACTCTCCTTATTTTTAAAGTCGGGACTACTCAAAAAACTGTAAGGGAGAACATGAAAATCATCTTCAAGCAATAACAACGTGACTATGTTTCTGTGAAACTATTTTTGGCAGATGGAAAAGAAATACAGATGCATCTATGTACCTTTCCTAATATAAAAATATTGTGAAATCTTTCCATGTGAACAAAAACATTATTATTGGGACGCCTGGGTGGCTCAGTGGTGGAGCGTATGCCTTCGGCTCAGACCGTGACCCCAGGGTCCTGGGATCGAGTCCCGCATCGGGGTCCCTGCAGGGAGCCTGCTTCTCCCTCTGCCTGTGTCTCTGCCTTTCTCATGAATAAATAAATAAAATCTTCAAAAAATTAGATTATTATATTAATCATCACTAGCACCCAGTCATTACGATCACTAGCAACGTACTTTTACTGAAATGCCTGGCCTTCCTCGACAGCATTATTCTTCAGGAAGTCAACAGAAACGGCGCCGTGGAATGATGGGCAGTAATCAGAGAGGGACTGATGCTGACAAAATAATGAAGACAGAGAATGTGACGTAACTAACAAATATGCTGATGGAACATACGTGTCAGAAAAATTTGGCCGGAAGCAGATTAGTTCAACAAATATTGAGGCGATGGCCTGAAAACGGGGAAAGGGCTGTATGACCCCTTCGAAGCCTGAGCCCAAGGAAGGGAGCCAAAGGAATGCTCTGGAAAACCAGCCGAGAAGGCCGGGAACGGAAGTACAAAGAACGCAGAGACCAAAGTGGGAGTGAGTTGAGACGAAGACAGGAGATGCGGGAAGGGGGCCTGTCGAGCTCCTGAGATACTCTGAGGTCACAGCACGTGGGACAGAAACAGAACCTCCAAGTAGGTATAGAAGCAGAAGGACATGCCGAAGGTGAGCGGAAAGCGGAGCCTTTAAGTCACAAATGGACAACGTGCCCCATAAAAAAAAACGAACAATAAGGCACATATATGTCTTCATGGAACTACAAGACTCGAAGATGAACAAAGTGAAAGAGGCGCTTCCAAAATAAAGTATTTCTGAAAGGTTAAAAGTAAAAAGGTTGAACCGGACAAATGCAAATAAAAGAATGAGCATCTCATTTACCAGTCAAGATCAACGTGAAGACCAAACAAAGCTCAGATGCCCCAGGAGAGAACTATTTATTTATTTATTTATTTATTTATTTATTTATTTATTTATTTATTTATTTTTTAGATTTTATTTATATATTCATTCATGAGAGACACGGAGAAGGAGAGAGAGAGAGAGGCAGAGGGGGAGAGGCAGGCTCCACACAGGGAGCCCGACATGGGACTCGATCCTGGGACTCCAGGATGACGCCCTGGGCCAAAGGCAGGTGCTAAACCGCTGAGCCACCCAGGGATCCCCGAGAGAACTTTTTTTAAGTGAAAGAGTGTGAACTGCAATGAAGATGCAGTGTGAATCTAGGACTGCGGGATCAAAACGTCACGGAGCAAACACTGCTAAAAAAAATATTAATAACGGCCCGAGGAAAAACACAAATAAAATAGAATTACAGTGATCTCTCAACCCAGCACAGTTTAAATACGCAAAAAACTACAGATACAGAAGATCTAAACAAAGTCATTAATTAGCGGAGCCTCAAATATCTTGGGTCAGTCTGTGCCTGAGACATCACCGACGCGATGTTTCATGGGTCACTGATAATACAGGTAACTGAGAACTACCTTCACAGTGCAACGTTAAGGGGCCTCTCTTTACACACAAAACCACATAGCTTTTAAAAATGGGAAATAAAGTAAGTAATAAATATTTTAAAATATTTTATATTATTAATAATATATTATATATAATAATATATTATAAATATATATTTTATATATTTATTTTAATATATTTAATAAATATTAAATATTTACTATAAATATTTATATTTATTATAAATATAATATAAATATGTTATATGTAAATATAATATAATATTAAATATAAGTAAATACTTATATTTATAATTTATAAATGAATATTAATATTTATTTTATGAATATTTATTAGTATTTAAAAATGGGAAATAAAGTAAAAATAATATAACAATAATAAAAATGGGAAAATATAACTTATCACACAACTGGACACAGGGAGCGAAAGCTATGTTGGAGGTAAGTGTTGCAGCGTGCTGTGTACCATCTGCACGGCAACCCGACAATCACAGACTCCGGGGCAGTACGTGGCCCTGCTACAGAGTGACTCTGGCCACGGCGCCTGGCAGGCTCTGTGGGTCAAGCGTCGGGCTGTGGATTCGGGCTCAGGTCACGATCTCGGGGCCATGAGATCAATCCCCAAGTGGGGCCCTGTGGTCAGCGTGGCATCTACTTGTTCCTCTCCTCCCCTGCTTGCTCTCTCTCAGATAAACACATACATAAAATATTTTTTAAAAAAAGAGTAAAGTGAGATTTAAAAAGGGAAAAGGCGCTCCAACAAATCCCAAGAGCAAGCACCCAAGAGCCACGCACGAACAATGGGGATGAGACGCGCCAGAGGTGGACGTGATCGGTCCTCGTGTCAGGGAAACCTCCCTGTTTCCAGGATGGCCACAGGGATGGCCCTTCCTTCAGGCCACGCGCCTGCATGTCCATCCCAGATGCCCACTTCTATAAAGGCAAGGACGTAAGAAAAACGTCCAATCTGAACCGGTTAAAAGAAATGCTATGGGGTCAGGTCAGTGTGACCTTCACTCAGATGGTGAACAGGGTCCCGGGATCAGTGTTTGAGACGTGCAAATCGCTGCAACCCGTGACACCCCGTGTGCTGCGCCGCATTCGCGCAGGGACTTACAGTTGGCCACGTCCCCTTGAAGCTGCAGGATCCGAGGAGCCGGCATCGTGAGGATGACAAGGTCAAACCGCTCAGGGCGACCCGTTTCCGTGGACACCTCCCACCTGTCATCTCGCAGGTCGACCCGGGTCACGCGGTGTCCGAAGCAGACGTCGGCACCTGTTCCAAAAGCAAAGTCATGTTCACATCACCGGGTTTCCACGTGAATGACCAGAAAGAGGCGCAAGCTGGATCCTTCCAGGTGAGTTAAAGAGTGACGTCTCTGCTGCTCCCCCTCCTGCCAGCACCCCCGGACGTCGTCCCCCGCGGCCACCACTGCTAGGAACGCCGGCCACGATTCACGGAGCGGCCACACCTGCCGGCCCCCGCGAGCACGCAGACCCCTGGCGCCAGTGGATCTCACAAACAAGGGGTCAGATTCAGAGATGTCGCTCCCTGATGTGGCCCCACATCCACCCCACTAAAGCTCGTGATCTTCATAAGGCAGGTAAGCGCCCTAGCGAAGGTGTCAACGGCCCTAGTCCTGGCCGCACGAGCAGGACTAGTCCCTTTAAGCCTGAGAAAGGTGCAGAGACCCAAGCCCTCGTTGGCGGATGAACCGCCTTTACTAAGAACTGGAATTAAGAGAAATGCAGTCGAGTGTCCTCCCGTTGCACTCCTCTTCTTCATCACCAAGGTATTTTGAGTGGTCTCGTCCCTCTTGGGTTCTTGGGCACTGGGGACCTACAAAGGTCAGCCTCGTTCAAGGAGGTTACTTTTTAAACCAACATTGATCGGGAGACTGCTCCGTACCTGCCCATTACCTGCTAGACTGACACGGATACACTGTGCCCCACTGTCCTCATGATAAAACTTTGCAGTGGGCACTGTTATCATCCTCATTTTTTTCCCATGAAAGAACCAGGTATAGATTTTTATTTAATTTTGATTTTTTTAAGATTTTATTTATTTATTTGAGGGAGACAGAGAGCACAAGCAGGGTGAGGAGAAGCAGACGCCCCGCTGAGCAGGGAGCCCGACCAGGGACTCGATCCCGGGACCCCGGGGTCAGGACCTGAGCTGAAGGCAGATGCTTCACCGACTGAGGCACCCGGGCGCCCCCAGGGAATAGATTTTTAAACTTTCCTATTATTATACACCCAGGAAGCGGTGACAGTACGTTCATTTGAGTCCAGGTCATTGTGATTCCAAAATTTCTCTCACTTCTGTTACGAAAACACTAAACCACTTTCGTGGAGAGAAAGCTTTACAGGAGTTTAAAAGGATATAATTGTAAAATTTTAAATAGTATAAATGAGGTCTATAAATCCTGTAACAACAGATGTGGGTAGAGAGGGGAAAAGACTCTTGAAGTATTACAAAGCTAATATTAGAACAGTCTATGTTTTTGATATTTGTATTTTATTTTTATTAAATATTACATATATTATTTATAATTACATTTATATTATATAGATTTTGTAGACCTGGAACTCAATTATGTAAAAATTCATTTAAAAAAAAAAGCAGAAAGGAATCCACAAAATGGACTTACTGGACATTTTTCCTGCTATTTTTATTTTCCAAACTTTGTACCAGTAATATGTAACTTTTTCAAAAGAATTACTTTTTTTGAAGTGAATAATGCTTTACAGAGTCATAAAAGATCTACAAAATCATTGTCTCAAGAGACTGTACTAATTGAAAATACAGGGGCACCTGGATGGCTCAGTGGTTGAGCATCTGCCTTAGGTTCAGCTCATGATCCCGGGGTCCTGGGATAGAGTCCCTGTGGTGGGGAGGGGGGGTCCTGCTTCTCCCTCTCCCTCTGCTGCTTCCCTTCTTGTGCTCTTACAGTCTCTCTCTCTTAATTTTTTTTTAAATTGAAAATCTATAAACAGGTTTTTACTAAGAATTGGTCAAATTAAAAGTGATAATCACCTTATATAGCTCTTTTAAATATACTTAGGAACACATCCAACATACACATGTAGATAGATAGATGATAGAGATGGATGCAGATACGGAAATCTATCACCACACCTACCTACCGGGTACAGGCTACTGTTAAATTCTGTGAGCCACAAATAATTAAATATGAGCTCTTTTTCCAAGAGCTTCCAAAGCAAAATTGGAAGATAAAACATATATTCTTCCAAGATAAAACGCCTGCCAAAAGGAGGACGTAGGTACCGTGTATTCCAGGACAGTCCCCCAGCCAGAACACCAGCTGTGAGAGGGCAAGCTGCCCTCTGTCAGCTGCCTTAGGTTCTTGTTTCACTTGTACATAACACCGCGTCTGGCGTGTCCTAAGTACCCCGTAAGTGGTTACTGAGTAGATGTGCGCGTGCATGCGTGCGTGTGTGGACAGATCCGTGATACAGTCAGGAGGTGCTTGAGGATTTCAGTAAACATGCTACCTAAATTGGGCCGAATCATGATGGAAATGAGATTTTTAAAAAGCTACCTGGTGGCAATGCATGAAGCCGATGGTGACACTTCACAAGATAATCCAACAGTATCACATTCTGTAATGGTTAATTGCATGCATTAATTTGACTGGGTCATGGAGTCCCCAAATATTTGGTCGAACATTATTCTGGGTCTGTTTTTGAGGGTGATTTTGGATAAGAGTAAAATTTAAATTGGTGGACTGAGTACAGATTACCTACTCTATCTAATGTAGATGGGTCTTACCCAATCTGTCAATGGCTTGAATAAAACAAAAAGAATAACCCTCCCCAAAGCAGGAGGAAATCTTCCTGACAGCCTTAAACTGGAACAAGTTTTGGGGGGTTTTATTCCCCCCTGTATTCAGATTTGAATTGAAAAATCAGCTCTTCCGGGATGGAGCCCGCTAGCCTTCACACTCTCCTGGGTCCCCAGCCTGCCGACTCATCCTGCAGATTTTGACACCCGCCAACGCCCATAACCACAAGCCAATTCTTTATAATAAATCATGTATATATGTATATATCCTATTAAAATATGCACACACACATGTCCTATTATATCAATCTCCTACTGGCTCTTTTCTCTGGAAAATCCTGAGTAATACACCATTATAGGCTAAATCCTAGGTTGAGAAATGGTTTAAACCAGAATGCTATTTACATTTACCACATGTTCTCATGTTGTGTGTTCAATCTCACTGACCTCTCCCTTGCCTGAGATCAGGGACTCTTGGGGTCCTCAATAAGTAGTATTTGATTAAGAAGTTCAAAATAGTAATTATTCTAGAAATAGCTTATGTTACAAAAATTCTAAGCACCTCTCATCAATGATCTTGAACTGGACAACTTAATTATGATTCATCAAGAAACCTTCTTTTGTTTGAAAAAAATCATCTATTGGGATCCTCGGGTGGCTCAGTGGTTTAGTGCCTGCCTCCGGCCCAGGGTGTGATCCTGGGGTCCCAGGATTGAGTCCCACATTGGGCTCCTGCATGGAGTCTGCTTCTCCCTCTGCCTGGGTCTCTGCCTCTGTGTGTGTGTGTGTGTCTCTCATGAATAAATAAATAAAATCTTAAAAAAAAAAAAGAAAAAAATCATCTATCATCCAAGATCATTTAACATCTTTTTTAAAAAAAGATCATTTTCAAAACATTCATAAAATAAAGAACAAATGAAAATCCTAATAAAAATGGGCAAAGATTATAAATAAGAAATTCACACACACACACACACACACACAAAAGATGAAAAGAGCTGCCTTAAAAAGGAGGCATGAACTCACTCATGATTATGTAAATATAAGTATAAATGTCAAAACACAAAAAGACAGCTGCTTTAACTTATCACACTGGCAAAAATTAAAAATCTCCATAATATCAAGACCTACAGAAGGAGAAATTCTCATTCACTGCTTTTTAATTTTTTTTTTAAGATTTATTTATTTTAGGGATTTAGGGTGGCGCAGCAGTTTGGCGCCTGCTTTGGCCCAGGGCGCGATCCTGGAGACCCGGGATCGAATCCCATGTAGGGTTCCCTGCATGGAGCCTGCTTCTCCCTCTGCCTGTGTCTCTGCCTCTCTCTCTCTCTCTCTCTCTCTCTCTCTCTGTGTGTGTGTGTGTGTGACTATCATGAATAAATAAATAAAATCTTTTAAAAAAATGCCTAAAAAAAGATGTATTTATTTTAGAGAAAGGGAGAACACAAGTGAGAGGGGCAGAGGGAGAGACCCCCGGCTGAGCACAGAGCCTGAGGTGAGGCTCAATCTCAGAACCTGAGATGGTGACCTGAGCGGAAACCAAGAGTCTGATGCTTAACTGACCGAGCCACCCAGGCAGCTCCTCATTCACTGTTGATGATGAGATATTCGTTAAGAGGAACAGATGACACTACCTGGTATAACTAAAAATTCACATTTACCATTCGACACGGCTATTGTCCTGTTAGAAATTGGGGTACAGATATGCATACGTGGCAGGGTTAGACCAGGTAGCAATACTGGCATTAGCAAAACAACCCCTCACGGCCCCCCCAGCCTAAATATTCACCAGAAATTAATACCTAAATAAACAATGCATTTATTTATAAATATATAATGTGATATTGAACAGGCACTGAAAAGCATGAAGCATACTCAATTTCCTGATATGAAAACAGACCTAAGATATGATTTAGTCTATGATGATGTATTAGGATTCTCCAGAGAAACAGAACCAACAGGGGGCAGACACATAGATAATGGGCGTGTGTGTGACTGATTTATTATTAACAGGACCAAACAAGGTGTAGAAAGGTCTATAATAATAATAATCCTATTTGTATACTTAAAAAGAATAAATATAAACACACGTGAATATAGAGACAGCCATGTAAGTCAACAGACAGAGGCAAAAACACTTTCCTAGAAGCGTACGCTGGAAACTATTATTAGGGATTACTTTAGGAAAAGAAAATTAGCTGTTGAGTAGTGAAGAGGAGAGCATCTATCTCACAACTTTCTTTATAGCATTAACACTTAATTGTGTATACAGCTTTTATCTTCAAATGCTAATTTTGAAAGCAGAGAAAATCCTATCCCCACCTGATTCTTTCAAGTAATGCTTAATAATTGAAGAAACTCCTTGAGGTGCCACAAAATTACACTCTCCTTCCTTCACCACCATCCCTTCGATAGGAGACGTCAGAGGCTTCAAAAGGCCAAGAGCCAGCAGTTCGTCATAAAACCTGAAATAGATCAATACAAGGCAAATAATCAAACACCACAGTCAGCTGAAAAATACTATATTCTCTTCCAAGAATTCATTTTATCTAATAACTAGAAATCTTTGGGGATCCCTGGGCGGCTCAGCGGTTTAGAGCCTGCCTTCGGCCTAGGGTGTGATCCTGGAGTCCTGGGATGGAGTCCCACGTCGGGCTCCCTGCATGGAGCCTGCTTCTCCCCCTGCCTGGGTCTCTGCCTCTCTCTCTGTCTGTCTCTCTTGTGAATAAATGAATAAAACCTTAAATAATAATAATAATAATTTAAAAAGAAGCTAGAAATCTTCATAGGATCAACTCTGTATATGTTTTGTGTCAATGAAACATAATTCAGGGGCCCCTGGGTGGCTCAGTCTGCAGAGGACCGACTCTCGGTCTCGGATAGGGCGTGCAAGCCCCACGTTGGGCACTGGGCTTCCTTAAAAAAAAATAGGGGATCCCTGGGTGGCTCAGCCGTTTAGTGCACCTTCAGCCCAGGGCCTGATCCTAGAGACCCGGGATCGAGTCCCACATCGGGCTCCCTGCATGGAGCCTGCTTCTCCCTCTGCCTGTGTCCTCTGCCTTTCTGTGTGTGTGTTTCTCGTGAATAAATAAATAGAATCTTTTTTAAAAAGAGTAATAAACCATAACTCAGGTGAAAAACAGAAACGTTTTGCGAATCCAAACATCTCTCGTTGACAGCTGAAGGCCTATTTCCTCGTGTATCTCAAAGTCAAAGTCAGTGTAGATAGGACAGTAGGCAGAAGGGTCAATTGTGAATTCGGTGGAGGTGGCCTTGCCCCCACCCCACTCCCCAGGGAGCTGTCCTCTGGGTCCCGGACCATGTTCATGGGGGTGGCCCACACCCCCGGCCTGCCACCCCATAGCCCCCCGCCGGAGGAGGCCTGGCCTGTAGCTCCCCACCGCGTCAGGATCACCTGTAGAGGGTCCTCAGCTGCACAGTAGCTTCTCTGCCTTGCAAGAGCAAAACCAGGCCTTCCCATGCACCCCACCCCAGAGGGGCACCTCCGGCCCTGCTCACTCACCGTGCATTTGGCCTGGCCCGCTGGGGTGAGCGGGTGATGTACTGTGCCCCCAGGTCCACGGTGCTCCCCGGGGTTTGCGGGCTGCAGGCCGTGCACATCCTCCCCCCTGCAGGAAGGGACAGGACCGCTCAGCGCCTCACCTGTGCAGCGGGTGCCTCACCTGTCCCTTCCCCGCGGGCCACACAGCTTACTTCAAAGCTGCATTCTTTAAAAGGGCTTTTGTGGGGTTTTCCTCTCTTAGTTTTATGCTTGGTCTTCTACGACTTCGACCTTCGGGATGTAGGTCATGCGGTAAAGAGGGCAGCGGGGGGCCTGGCCCGGGTCACACACTGAACCAGCAGGACCCGCTGCCCCAGGAAAGGCCCCCGAGAGCTGGGAACCGGCCCCTCCACCCCCCACCCCCACCCCCGTGCGCGCCTGCGATCCATCCTCCCGCCTGTGATCCATCCTCCCGAGAAACGGGATCCTGTAAACCAGACCCTGCGAAGGCCGGGCCCAGGGCGCTGGGGTCCTGGCAAGGTGCACGTCCCGCACACCCGGCGGACGAGAGATGGACCCCCCCCTAGGCGGCCGGGCCCTGCGAGGGCGCGCGGGCAGGTGCCGGGCGGCCCTGGGGGGGGGGGGCGCTCCTCCCGCCTCCGGGACCCCGCGGGGCTCCTCTGCACCCCCTCCTCCCGCCCGGGGCTCCTCCCCGACTCCGGGGGGCTCCTCTGCACTCCCTCCTCCCTCCCAGGGCTCCTCCCCGACCCCGCGGGGCTCCTCTGCACCCCCTCCTCCAGCCCAGGGCTCCTCCCCGACCCCGCGGGGCTCCTCTGCACCCCCTCCTCCAGCCCAGGGCTCCTCCCCGACCCCGCGGGGCTCCTCTGCACCCCCTCCTCCAGCCCAGGGCTCCTCCCCGACCCCGCGGGGCTCCTCTGCACCCCCTCCTCCAGCCCAGGGCTCCTCCCCGACCCCGCGGGGCTCCTCTGCACCCCCTCCTCCCACGCGGGGCTCCTCCCCGACCCCGCGGGGCTCCTCCCACTCTCCCTGCTCCTCCTGCCCTGGCTCCTCCCGCTCTTCCCTCCTCCACCCCCTTCCTTTCCTCCAGCACCCCTCTCCTCCACACTCCTCCCCCACCCCCGCCCGGGGCTCCTCCTCCACCGGGGCCGCTCCCACTCCTCCCACTCTCCCGGCTCCTCCCGCTCCTCCCCCCGGCCCCCTTCTTTCCTCCCCCCGCCCTCCGCTGCCCCCACCCGGGGCTCCTCCCACTCCCGCCGCCCCGGGGGACCCCCCTCCCCTCCCGTCCCCCTCTCCCTCCCCCCCGTCCGAGGCTCGGGTCACGCGGCGGGCGCGCACTGCGCATGCGGCTCCGGGGAACGCGGGCGGCGTGGACAGGGTGCTCGCCCTCCCCGCCTCCCGCGCCGCCGGCCACCCACCTGGGGCCGCTGCCTCCTCCCACACCGTCAGGTGCGCGGGCCGCGGCGTCTCCCTCCCGAGCAGCGCGGCACACACGCTTCCCGTCAGCCCCGCGCCCACCACCAGCGCCCGCGCCATGGCCTCCGCTCCAGGCCCCCCCCACCCCGCGGTCCCGGCGGCCGGCCTGCAGGGGGGAAGGGGGGAGGAGGGAAGGGAGGAGGGGAGGCGGAGAGGCGGAGCCCGGGAGGGGGCGGGGCCCTGGAGGGGCGGGGCGGGACCTGGAAAGGGGGCGGGAGGGGCCGGAGGTGCCCGGGAGTGACTGGGACGGGGGGGGGGGGGAGGGCCCAGGAGGGGGAGAGGCGGGAGGAGCGGGGACTGGGAGGAGGAGGGAAGGGGGGACCTGGAAACGGGGTCGGAGGGGCGGGAAGATGGGGAGGGGGAGGCGAGGCCCGGGAGGGGAGGGGAAGGGCGGGGGGGAACCTCGAAAGGGGGCCGGAGGGGACGGAGGATGGGGGAGGGGAAGAGGAGGAGGGGCCCGGGAGGGTGGCGGGGCCGGGCCGGGAGTGGAGGGGCGGGGCGGGGCGGGGCGGGGGACCTGGATAGAGGGCCGGAGGGGCGGGCGAAGGGGTGGGGAGACGGGCCCGGGAGGGGGTGGGGCGGGGAGAGGAGGGGGAGAGGCGGGAGGAGCGGGGCCTGGGAGGAGGAGGGGAGGGGCGGGGGCACCTGGAAATGGGGCCGGAGGGGCGGGAGGAGGGGGCGGGGGAGGGGAGGCCCGGGAGGGGGTGGGGCGGGGAGGTGCCCGGAATGGGGCGGTGCCGGGAGGGGAGGGGCGGGGAGGGGATCTTCAAAAGGGGCGGGAGGGAGGGAGGGCGGGGGCGGTGCCCGGGAGGGGGAGGGGCGGGAACCCGGGATGGGGCGGGGACACGGAAGGCGGGGCCAGCCCCGGGCAGGGAGGAGGCCGGGCGCAGCTCCCCGCTCCCGGAGCACAGCGGCTCACCTGCCACCTGCCACCTGCTGGGCCCTGTGCGACGCCCCCTGTGCAGTGGGTGCAGTGATGTCTGCGTGTCACAGCCGCGGCGATATTTTTTAAACATGTTACTTATTTCTTCATGAGAGAAGCAGAGGGAGCCCCGGCTCCTGGTGACCCCGCTGCGGGCCTCGGTCTGGGACCCGGTCACGCCGCCCCCCATCCCGGCCCTGTGGGGCCCAGGTGGTGCGGTCCCCCCGGGTCAGAGCACCGCGCTGGGGGCAGGCCTGTGCCCTGGGCTGCGGGGAGGGAGGAGGCCGGGTCCCCGCGGCCCGGGGTCGGTTCCACCGCAGCATCGCCCTGGAGGGTCCCCGCGAGCCCCCGGCCCCCAGGGGGGCGGCAAGGGCCAGAAGGTAAAGAGCAGGCCCGCCCAGATGCAGCCCAGGGACCGCCCGGCCACCAGCACCTGCGCAGCCGCCAGCAGGAGCAGGGAAGCTGCCGTGGGGCCAGTAAGAACGTTTAGGAGCCACAAGTTTTCCTTTATGTCCGCATCATGAAGACGTGGCCCTACATGGAGTGGGCGGTAGAGCGATGCTCCCAACATGTGGGAAAAGAGCCAGAAGGAAATGCAGATGAATCCCATAGAGTCTGTACAAGGCCCCTAAGAATAAAAGAAGGAGCTGAACAGAAAACCATGAACTACATACTTGCTCACAGCTTGTATAGTACGAAGTGCACAGACAGAACGCAAATAGTGAGCAAACTGGGGTACAGTCTGATAATACACCAAGAATCCTAAAACTGGCTCTTTTCAATGAGACGTACCAGGCCTACACTCTGATCTTGAGAAAATAATAAATAGATACAGACATTTCTGTAAAAATGCGGCCACTTCGATGGTACTGGGGACACTGGAGTGTGCAGGGACTCCAGTGACCAGATTATGGGTGTGCGAGCATATCCCTGAAGCTGCTGGGGAAATAGGCCTTTGGATATTTACGGATGTACAGAAAATGAGTCGTTCTGTGATGCTCAAACACTTGCTACAAAACCAGAGTTTAAATCCCAGAGTTTTGTAGATACACGTGGAGACGAGTGCCCATGCCGTGTTAGGTAAACATGAGAGGAAGCAGATGCACTTCTATTTTTCTATTAGTTTCAGATATTTGATAAAGTCCGTCTGTATTGATTTATTTGTCATGAAAGAAAGTAAAGCTGAAAAAAAAAAGAAAAGAAAGAAAGTAAAGTTGATCTGGTAGCTGGAAGCGTCTCAGTCCCTGCCTGAAAGCCGTGGACCATCTAAGAGGTGTCCCAGCCACATTCTAGGATCTCGGAATTGTCCAGAAAGGGTACCTGAGGGGCTACTTCGGCTGCCCTGTGCCACCAGCACTGCAGCCCCGTAAACCCAGTATCAGGGTTCGGCGGGCTTGCCTGGCCCTGCCTGGCTCTCCAGGGGGGGGCCCGCGCAGGTACCCGCTGGGTTTTGAGTCTGTTCTGCTCCCGTCCACCATCACCTCCTGCTTCCTCATCTCCGAATCCCAAAACCTCATGGTCCTCCTCAATTCCTTCCCTTTTCCCACTCTTGCTAGACTGTCAGTCCTCTGGGTTTGGCCTCTTGTCCTTTGTCTCCTAAGCCCAAGGCCGTGCAGTTGCACACCAGAACCTCCGGCTTCCACTCCCGCCAGAAACCATCCACGGGGCCTGCTTTAGGGCATGCTCGTGGGCACGTAGCATTTTGACCAGAATCACCACCGGATGGATGTGTTCTTAAATTTGAGCAATTTTTACAGCTTGTTTTTTAGAGACAGAGAGCTGGAGGGAGCACACATTTAGGATTATTGTGTCATCTTGGAGAATTGAGTCCGTATCATTATGTAAACTTCCTTTTTATAATAGCATTTTTCTTTTTTTTCTTTTTTTTAGCATTCCTTCTTCTGATTCAACTTTGTTTGAAATTAACATAACTGGTCCAGCCTTCTTTTGGTATATTTCGCTCTACCCTTTTAACTTAAGTATCTGCCTTTAACATGAATTTCTTGTACAGAGCACACAGTTCAGTCCTGCTTTTTAAAAATTTAATCTGACAAAAAAAAATTTAGTCTGACAGTCTCTGTCTTTACCCATTGTACTGAGACCATTTGCCTATAAGGTGATTATTGATTAAGATCTACCAAGTTGTTCTATATGTTGGCAAATTGAACACCAATAAAAAGTAAATTTATATATATATATATATATATATATATATATATATATATAAAGATCTACCAAGTTACTCCTGCGCTTATGTTCTTTATTTCTTTTTTACTTCTCTGGGTTTAACTGAGCATTTATTATTATTCCATTTAATCTCCTTTATTGGCTTATTATTTATACTTCTTAAGACATTTGTGGTGGTCTCCTTAGGGTTTACAATATACATTTTAAGATGATCTTAGCCCATCTTCAAATAATGTCATACTTTCCACCATATGGCTTGAGTAAAAAACTAAGACCTTGCTCAAGTTGTCCATAGGGATAAATCTTCAAAACCTAGCAATACTTTCAAGACTCTTGCTTCTCTATTTGTTTTGGGGGGTTTTTTTTGTAAGATTTTATTTATTTATTCATGAGAAACACAGAGATGTGTGAGAGAGAAGCAGAGACCCAGGCAGAGGGAGAAGCAGGCTCCATGCAGGGAGCCTGACGTGGGACTCGATCCCAGATCTTCAGGACCACGCCCGGGCCAAAGGCAGGCGCTAAACCGCTGTGCCACCCAGGGATCCCCCCAACCTACGTTTCTGACTTCTCTTGGCAGTCGTCACGTGTCCTGTGCTGACTGAATTATTTGATGCTCCTGCATGAGCAAAGGTGGTAAACCTTTACTCCCGCAGTTCTGTTCAGCAAATCCTTTTTTTAACTTGTATTTCCAGGAGCTGTTCATTGGCATTAGTTCTTCACCCTTTTCCTTTTCTGGTGTAATCAACAATATGTTCTTTGGAACATTGTAGAGAGGGGACCCCCGATGGCTCGGGGGTTGAGCATCTGCCCTCGGTTCAGGGCATGACCCCAGGGTCCCGGGATTGAGTACCGCATCGGGCTCCCTGTGGGATCTCCCTCTGCCTGTATCTCTGCCTCTCTCTTTCTCTGTGTCTCTCATGAATAAATAAAATCTTTTTTTAAAAAAGTAAATAAAAATTAAAAAATAGAACGTTATATAGAATTTGGGGTTGTTACAACCATTGAATAGAGAGGTAGCCATGCCGGCTTGTGATTTCTCATTACCGTAGTCTGTAGGGGTGGTATAGCCCCCACCTTCACGTGCACCCCCAACCTCCAGAATGGGTTAGCAGAGCTCTAACTGCAGGGTTGGGGTCCATGGTTGGTTACTCTGATACTGTATCTTTCTGGGAAATTTGGAAATGACTAGACAACTAAAGAAAGTAGGTTTGCAAAATAGCCAGGACAGGTACATGTTTATATTTACTCTTCCTACCCACCTTGGTCTTTTCTCCTCTTTTCTATTCCTGATCTTTGCAAGGCAGGCTCCTTCTCATTTTTTTTTTTTTTTGTAGTTGTTGTTCCTTCTCATTTAAGACCCACTTAAAAGTCACCTAAAAGGCGCCTTCTCTAAGCTACTTGACTTAAAACAACCACCCCATGACTCTCTAGTGCACTGACCTGCTCTGTGTTCTGCATGTCAGTTGATCACATTTACAAGTTCTCTTGCTTTCTTACCTGCTTACTTATGTATTGTTACGAAAATCTCCACACCAAGGGGCAGAAACATTGTCAGAGTCAACAGAGTAACCCTGGCAACTGGAATCAGAGTTAGAATTCCCAGAAACAGAGCTCCCGGGGCTGTCTGCCTAGAAGGTGTACAAGCCTTTCAAGGGTCAGGCTTAAGCTAGGGTAGGCGGGATGGTAATTCCGTGGGGACAGTTTCAGTATTGAAAATACTATCTCAGAGAGTGCTTTTTTAATATTATGATATGACTGTAATAGTATGAAAATATCATGCCAGTCCGCAAAGGATGTCTACTCTATGAGGCGCAGCTCCATCTGTCCTCATTGTGTTACTGATAACTTCGATAATCATTGATGGCAAATGTAGCAGTTTTTAGATGACATCAAATCAAGATGAATAGCCTCACAGGGTTAGTGTGAGGTGAGGAGTTTCAGAGATTTCAATAGACGTCACTATTTATTTAGTTTTGTTCAATCATGCAACAAAAACGGACAAGGTTA